TGATTTGAAAATGGTGGGTGGAACATGAACCTATTGAAGAACAAAACTCCACCTATAAAACCACCCACTCACACTCCCACTTCTCTCACAAACGCTCTCCACACTTTCAAACACACAAACTTCCAACAACTTCCAAAACCATTTTCCTTCTCCAATGGAGAAACTCTGCAAAAACCCCATCAAAGCTCACGTAAGAAGAAAAAAAAGAAGAAAGTTTCTTCCTTTTCCAATGGCGGCATCTTTTCAAGCTTCCATTTTTAATGGCTTTTTGCTCCAAATCCCACCGACCCATTTCCCCTCTTCCATTTGAGCAAACCCTTTTAACCTTTTTTTGTAATGTAATCAATTTTTTTTTGGTTTCTCAGGCGGCGAAAATGGCGGTTTTTGTGGTGGTTCTGGCGGCGGCGCTGGCCGGAGAAGTGGAGGGCAGAAGGGGAAAAAAGGCGCGGAGAAGGGCTTTGGACGGCGACGGGTTTGAGTACGGCGCCATAAGTTGTAGGGCCCACAGTGCTTCGATAACGGAGTTCGGCGGCGTTGGCGACGGAGTGACGTCGAACACTAAGGCGTTTCAGGCGGCGGTGGAGCGGCTGAGCCAGTACGCCGGCGAAGGCGGCGCTCAGCTGTACGTGCCGGCGGGGAGATGGCTCACCGGCAGCTTCAACCTCACCAGTCATTTCACTCTCTTTCTCCATCAGGATGCCGTCCTTCTTGCTTCTCAGGTTCTCTCTCTACCAAAATTTCTATTACTATCCAATAATCTAAATATTTTGTAAAAATTTTTAATTACTGTTAAAATTTAAATATAACGTTAAAATTATAGTATGAATAAAGTAAATAGTTGTCAAAACCAATCTAGTTTAGCTGTAATTGACATGTATTTGAGTTTGATCCCACTCCCATATATTGTATTAAAAAAACAAAGAAAATAGTGCCCTTATATTTTCAAAATATTTAATTACATTTATATATTTAAAAGTATAGAGACTAAAATAAGATAACCAAATTAACATTTTAACATCATCTATTGTTATTTAAGGTGAAATTTTTATATCGTTCTTCTATTAAAAAAAAAAAAGATCACGAGGGTAGGATTGTATTTTGAAGCTCATTTTTCTAGTGGATTCAAACTCGTGACTTTTTATTCAGTTGTGACTGAATTGCATATAGGTGACCAAATGTTTTTATCATATGAAACATAAAATCCGAACAAAATTAAACTTTTATATAAAATTAGAAAGAAAAGAAGAGCATAGGAAAATGGTTAACCATTTATTATTATTTGTTACTACATCCAATTTTATAATAAATATTCATATTTGCAGCATCACGTGAATTGATAGTAAAATCACCGTATATTATATATATATAATTTTTAAATGTTGAACTGTGCGACAAAATAGTAGAAAATGGAAAGATTTTGAATAACAGGGAATTCCATATGTAATAATTATATCAAAATGACAGAAATGCCCAGCTGTTGTTTTTCGTTTGGAAATAATTCCTTTTCACGTGAAGACAATTATAGGTGTTGAGAAAAGTGAGTTATGAGTAACAAATTTCTACCAGAATGCTTGTCAACATACATAGGAATATTATTGTTGTGCAATATTTTATTTTTTTGGTAACCCCCAAACCAGATTTTTGGCAATTTTGACACTAGAAACTGCCACTTTATTAACTTTCTTGTGACTTTTTTAACCTCGTTTCCGAGTCTTGCCACGTGGACTATAAATTGTAAATCATCCGTTTGAATTTAGGATAACATGTTAAATCACCAATGGAAACACTTAGAATAAGTACAAAGTTAGACGTTTATTTGTAGATTGACCAGTGGTGACGTTGTTTCTGTTTTGCCTTTAGTGAGTTTATTTTAAGGCAGATGATTTATTTTTTTTTAATGATCTAGAAGCACAGAGAAGGGCTTTTAGATGAGTTATTAGAGTAGGTGGGGCAATTTTGGTATTATATTTTTTTGACAGTTACAAATATATATATTTAGAATCAATTTTTTTAAAAATCAAAATGATTTTCTTTTAGAATTTTTGGTTTTACAAGGTCATCAAGGCAAAGACATTGGTATCTTGACTTTAATAAAAAAACTTGAAGTGATGGGTCAAAAGTGGCTTAGAGTTGCTTCAACATCCTCATTTTCTAGCTTTTAACAATTTTAGATGACCTAACCACAGCCAGTGTTTGAAAATGGAAGAGGGTTTGGACCTAACCTTACATGGAATCCAATGGATTTTAGACCTTCAACTCAGTTTTGATAGTTTTTTTCAAAAATTACTTAGAAAAGTTGAAGAAACTGCCCCACGTAGAGCATTTATTAGCTTAGCTGAGTTGGATGGACCATGCAATAAGCCTCTCTCGACCCTCCCTTTCCCATACATCTTCTTGAAAGTCTCTTGCCCTTCGAGATACGGTCCATCACCAACCCAATTCGTATCTTACTGTTTCCTCAAATTGGATTGACATGCTGCCTTGCAGAATTCGCCCTTTTATCAGCAAATTAGTAAGGTTGGAAGTGCAATGAAATTAGAAGAGTTCCTCAGATTTAAAAAAATTCAATTGATGTCTCCGAAATCCTTGATCCATGTTCCCCATTTGCATATAAATCAACTAGACTTGTCAATTGAACCATGGCTAGATTAATCATCTAAGCTGAATTGTCTAAATTATCTCATCTAAAATTTGTCTGCGTTTCAACTACTCTGATAGGATCCTAACGAATGGCCTGTGGTCGACCCATTGCCATCCTACGGTCATGGAAGGGACACGTCGGGGGGAAGGTACATCAGTCTCTTATTTGGAACAAACCTCACTGATGTTGTCATTACAGGTAAGTGTCCCAATGTCTTGCCGGAGCTTGATCTGTCTGTCATTCTTCTTGATGAGTGTCTGAAAATTTGAGCGAAACCCGATTCATATCAGGGAACAACGGCACTATTGACGGTCAAGGCGCTCGCTGGTGGCAACTTTTTCATCAGGGCAAGCTTAAGTACACCCGACCGTACTTGATCGAAATCATGCATTCCAACGATGTCCAGATATCGAACCTGACCCTGCTAAATGCTCCGACTTGGAATGTTCATCCTGTTTACAGCAGGTAATTAGAGTTAATTATGAAAAATCTATAATATGAAGTTCTACACTTCCTGGTTTGATTCAGTTGCAACTGTTATGCAGCAATGTTCTTATTCAAGGAATCACCATTATCGCTCCAGTTCGATCCCCGAATACAGATGGTATCAACCCAGGTTTGTATCTCGAAGCAACTCGAGAAGATGAAGTTTTATACGTCCTGTAAAATTAATGACTGATTTCATCTGCAGATTCCTGCACAAACGTTAGAATTGAGGATTGTTACATAGTATCTGGAGATGATTGTGTGGCAGTCAAGAGTGGTTGGGACGAGTATGGCATAGCATTCGGATGGCCAACTAAACAGTTGATCATCAGACGGCTCACGTGCATTTCCCCGACAAGTGCTGTCATTGCACTGGGAAGTGAGATGTCGGGTGGGATCCAAGATGTCCGAGCTGAAGACATCGTAGCCATCGATTCTGAATCAGGGGTCAGGATCAAAACTGGCATAGGAAGGGGAGGCTATGTTAAAGACATATATGTTAGGAGGATGACAATGCATACCATGAAATGGGCATTTTGGATGACTGGAAATTACGGGTCGCATGCCGATAAGAAGTATGACCCCCACGCAATGCCTGCAATAGAAGGAATCAACTACAGGGATATGGTTGTCGAAAACGCAACGATGGCAGCAAGATTGGAGGGAATTTCGGGTGACACATTTAAAGGCATATGCATTTCCAATGTGACAATCGGCATGGCAGTGAAGGCCAAGAAACAGCCATGGACTTGCACCGATATTGAGGGAATAACAAGCCATGTTACTCCTCCGCCGTGCAGTCTGTTACCCGATCAGGGGGAGCAGACTACAACATGTCAGTTTCCAGAGGATACTCTACCAATCGATTCAGTAGAGTTGAAAAAATGTTCGTATCAATTGAGTCATGTTTGAGGCTTTCTTACTGTGCACCAGCAAAAGCTATATCAATTATCAAGTCAGTGTATTATCACTGTTAGTATAAAAATCTATCTATAAAACTGTTCCGTACGCCGTGTATCTTGCTTTTACAGTACAGTTCTATTGTTATAGAATGTATGCAATCATTTAACGCCATTGAAATAATTCCTCTCAAAATCAACTAGCACTGGCATCAAGTAGTGTATTGTATTGAACCATTACTTTCAGAACCTATGAGTTGAGAAAGTTATCCAAAAACTAGTATAATGGAAAGAAAATAAAAGGACGACTTTTAAGATATGAGAAGGATCGTGAGCAAAATTCACAAACAGGGTGACAATTTGTACAGCCAACTCACAAATGTTCAATGATAAGATTGGAATTGAAGAATTCTGCACTGGAAACTCATGCTTCTGATTTTTCCATCTGTCACTACATCAAGAAACAAAGACATGAGATCATAATCCAAGGGCTTCAAAAATAGTATATGGTAGTATCAAATATCTTCAGTACATTGTTTAGGAAGCAAACTTTACAGAGGATCAATAATCTGATTGAGTAACAGTAACAATTTACCAACTTGAGTAAGCTCCTATTCCAACTCCATACAGCATCGTATCCACACTGCATCAAAAAAAAATTCAATACAGAAAGCCTTACACTTGTGTTTATCATTCAGTTTAGCATATGATACTAACACGGTAAAAAATTTGTGGAACTGAGCAGAAAGAATTACTATTGAGACAAATTACAGTGCGGAAGGCAAAGAAAGCTAAACTGGTGTGAGCCTTTTACTTGAACATGACATACTTTTCCATTTCATTCTCATTGCACAGTACAACATTACATGATCAAACCATAAAAATAGTAAAGATAACGTAGAGCATTACTACACAAGCTATACTACTATGACAAGCCAGACAAGATAGTGTACATTCGCCAATCAAAAGATAGGAAAATAACCAGTTGAACCCTTTTATATAAAGGAACAAGCTCATCTCCATCACAGTTGTCTTGTTGTAGACAGCCCCCCCATTCCCTGATCAAATACTGTCTCACTTGCTCTAAGATTTGAAAGCAATGCATCACGTCCCGATAAAACAATGTCGAAAAACTCGTCGACTTGTTTTGTAAGATGATCAAGGCCTTGTGAAAGCTTTTCTGCCTCCCTCCTCGAATCTACAACCAAATTCTGGAATTCTTCTGCTTTAATTCCACCATCTATATTTCCTTGAATCATGGAATGCAAATTTGTTACACTCTCATCAACTGCTTCAAGCTCTCTCAATACAGTAAATCGTCCACTAGAATAAATTTTCTTAATTCCCACGTTTACATTTTTCTGTAAGTCAGTAAAAGCTTGTGCCCATCTATATGTATCAGGAACAGTGATAGGAAACAACTTTTTGGAAGAACCTGAGAAGACAGAAGCAAAAACACTGCAAATAAACAGAGTTTCCACCTTCACTCCGTACATCACATGCATCAGAACCTTGCCTTTGGATGAGTTCTTCACCTTCGGAGGATCGAGCGATTCCTCAAGACTGTCCAGAATAGAACAACAGCTCTCGAATCTGGAGGTTCTGGAACTAATATGTTTACTCCATCCATCTAACGAAGAACAAGCTTGAACAAACTGGTTGGAAGATGTAGATTCCAGATTGTGCAAGGCACACCGAAGTACCAGTTGACCCTGATTCAACTGTGAGAGCTCAGAGCTAAAATCATTGCATATATCAAGTAATTTCACACTGATGCCCAAATACTCATCTAACCATTTCTCCTCCCAGTCAGATACAGGGAGACCAAGGTCTTCTATAAGTGTTTTAACATCATTGTGAGTCTCGCACAGCAGCTTCATTGCTAATTCCATCCATGAGAAGCTAACTATATCATTATCTGATTTTGGAGTAAGCTTTTTCAGCCTCTCTGCCAGTGAATCCTCAAAAGCGGCTAACAAAAAGACAAGTCTAGAGGACAATTTGGAACCCTTAGGTGATATTGCACGAAAAGGATTTCCGAAAGGAAAGAAAGGCCGGTGTGGCTCTTGTGGTCGGCTCATTATATAACACCAACTGCAAGATTTATAAAATCCAAGGATGAGCTGCTATTTGGAAACAAATTCATGACAACCATCCATCATGCTGCAATCACATGGAATATATGATGTAACAGACTTCCAGATACGATTGATGCATAATGCATTCAAAATCTGGGACAGTGTACAAACCATTCAATGGAATTTTCAAACAAATCATGATCAAAGTAGCCAAACTAGGGCAGAAGTGAAACACTGATGAAGCAACTGGATACACCAACTACTAACATCACAAAATAGCCAAGATGCCTTCATAACAAGAAATTTTCCTTGAACGCAATAACCCTGATAGCTAATTTTACCCATGTTTTTTATTTCACAAAATAGACATTAAGGGTTTTTGGTATTAATCTCATCAGAAGGTACGAACTATGACCAAGAAATCCTAAGTCCTTGCCAATTGGGCTGCTTCTTGGGGGTAATTTTACCCATGTCATGTAACAAATTCTGGACCTTCAGAATGAAAACATCAGAAGAACGACTAAAGCAACCCAAATTTGAATTTTTTTTTCCAAAAACCCATTCAAATTCTTGCATGCAAAAAATCCAAGTAAAAGGCCAGAAAATTTATACATCCTGAATATAGCAGAACACGTTTAATCAAATGCTACTTCTAGTATCAATAAACTGCACCTAAGAAATAAACCATTTTCAAAACAGAAAAGTGGAAAAAAGATAAAACGTCAGTTTGATCTTCAGTTTTCTGAACCAGCAAAACTACTTACTAGCCTTTGCTTCAAAAAAGGACCTCAAAAACATTCCAAAACGCAAAGACATAAATCAATTTTTACACCAAAAAACCCCCCAAGTAATCAGCTCGAACTAACAAAATTAGAGTGAATCCAAGAAATTACAAGTAAATTAAGAAATCACCAAAACAAAACAAAACTACTTACTAGCCTTTTCTTCAAAAAGGACCTCAAAAACATTCCAAAACGCAAAGACTTCCAGAAATCAATTTTTACACCAAAAAACCCCCCCAAGTAATCAGCTCGAAATAACAAAATTAGAGTGAATCCAAGAAATTACAAGTAAATTAAGAAATCACCAGAACAAAACAAAACCCAAAAAAATAAAAAAAGAAGTTACCAATTCGTAGATCTACGAACAAGGAAAGCGTTTAGATCAGAATGAATGAAAAAATCCCGCAGATATCGATCCCAAACATCTATTGAAAAGAACAAAAGAACAGAAACCCTAGATAGTTACATCGAAACCTAAATCTGCAGCTACAGAATAATTCAAAAGCAAAAAATTCCAATCGCTTCGATGAGAAAAAAGAAATTGGAGTGGTTCCTACCAGATTCAGAAACCAGAAAGCAAAGGAAATTTCTAAGAAATTATTGCAGCCAGCAAACGTTGAATTCGTCTGGCGGAGGAGTGGAGCTTATTCCTAAATTGAAGATAAAGGTGGTGATAGTCTAACCGCAGTGGTACGCAAATTGTGCGAAAGGTCGAAACGTGGAGGGAATTGATTGGATGTTGACGTAACACCGACTACCGAGACATATTTATTCTTTGTAAATCGGCACGTTGATATTTAGGTGAATTTATTTCGGACTTTTTTTCCTTAATATTGCAAAAATTGTTATTTAAATATAATTACTTTAAAATTAATTTTCAAATAATGTAATTTTAATTCAAGCAAAACTAAGACAAAGTCGTCGCCTAACTACAATATTTTAAAAATTAGTTTTGAAATGATTATATTTAAATAATTTTTTTACCATATTAAAAAATGGTCCAATTTATTTCCCTTAGCCGTATTTGCTTCCTTTGTGGGATGCGCTAAAATGACTGCGAAGTTACTCACAGACAGATTTCAGGACTTCAGGCGCTAAACGTGGCGAATTATCAGTGGCTTTGGCTGGTGGAATTGGAACAATGTTACCGTTAACATCTTCCACGTATGGACGGTGTTGATTTCCGTCACAATATTATATAATTAGAGGGCAATATTTAATGTGTCTTTTTAATTTGAAATATTGTATCTTATATTAAATAAAAAATATTTTACCCCAAATTTAAAAAATATTGTAATGCAATTTGACTATTTTATATTTTTAAAGTTTTTGTTCTTGTCAACATAGATATTTTGTTCAAGATTTTTGTACACTACATTTTTTTTATACATTTATGAATCTTCTTCATATGTAAATTGTAATGCAATTGTTGAACTTCAAAATAAATAAATAAATAAATATATATAAATAAATAAATATATATATATATATATATATATATATATATATATATATTCAACTACATAAAATTTTCTAAAGGTCATAGATTCCATTCTTAAAGTTGGTAGCTCAATCCTCCGCCGTGTAATTGTTGAACTTAAACAAAAAAGACTCAACTCTATATCGTGCCATATAGATTTGTCAATTGCATGTGAATTAGCACGTCAACTAAACAAGCACTGCACCACTTATAGAAAAATATTTCATAAAAAAACATACACATGGAAGACATTCTCAAATAAATTGATGAACATAAATATTGGATATTCTCTAATTCGTCGATAAATATGCCAATTCGACGCCGAAAATGTCGACAAATGGCAAAGCTCTTCTGTTTAAGGAACAAGAAGCAAACTTGCTCAAGTCACATAGGACTCAGATCTGCAAATGGAAACAATCAGCAGCAATATATTCATATTCAAACATTCTTTATAAATCTGACAAACAACATTGTAAAAAAATGCAAATTTTTCAAGAAAATTATGTTAAATAAATGGCCCAACTCCATCAAGTTACAGAAGCCCTTGAAACTTACTCCAAAAAGCAAGCTTTGGATAAGGAAGGAGCTCCCCATCTTTCAGTTTGACAGAGAGATGGCAAGTGCTTGAAAGGACAGTGTATGGTGCAGATAAACCAAAAGATTGATCCCTTCAGAAACATCCACAGCCAGCATAGAACGAGACTTCGGGCAGCCAAACAAACGTGTAGATCAGACAAAAACCCGTCGTGTTTTCAACAATGAACACCTCAGTTCTAGTCCACATCTTAGCCTTCCTTACTGGTCCAGTCAGGTCAGAGCAAAGAGCACATGAAGGATAAGTTGCAGTTGGAGTTGTCTCTACCAGACTTGCTGGTCGCAGGGACCACACCCCAGAAGCATACAATTCTCGGTTCGGCAATCTCGTTGGCAGTTTCAACCAATTCCATCAACATAGCTGGTTAGGTGCTCAACCAAACAGTTGACGGGGCAGGCTATCTCCGTAATAGAAGGGCATAATTCTAGATGTACAATGACACAAGAGCTATCCTTACCAAACAGAAACTAGGTGCCCTACCCTTAAAGCTAATTATACATAGACAATGATTTTGTCAAGTCAATATCAAGACAGAAAGCAACTAAGATTTAACGAAACCGAACAGGACGCCCCATATCTAACAAGAGAGAACGTGTAGCAATTCTTATGGTTTCTGTAAGAATGAGACTAATACATATGAAGATTAGAAAAGCAACCTAACTGGAGATGGGATGCATCTGAAGTGCAGAAAAAAAGAATCTATAGAGCAAACCCTATAACTGTTGGTTGATATTTTGGATGTTACGGCTCCCAACTTCGGAGAAACTTGAAGAGTTAGTCATGTATCGTGCCAATACGGTACATTATTATCTCCACCTACTTGGATGTTGAGTATTTCCATCACTCTCACCTTCACTTATATTAGAAGATGTTCCTTCATCTTTCTGATTGTTAACTCGTCTTGGAACGGCCCGGTTCTCATGTTGATCACCTTGAATTGAGTGGGAAGAATCCCTACCGACCCGATGTTCCTACAAAACAGTAATAGATGGATGCAGATGGACAATTGTTAAAAAGAGACGAGCAAACCAAAAACTTCAAACAAAGCATATAAATGCAGATTTATACATGATGAGACAGTAAATTATCTGCCTCAAGCATGTGGATGACATGCCCCATTTTCGGCCTCTTCGTTGCATCGGGATCAACACACCGAAGAGCAACCAGCAAAACACGTTTCAGTGCTTTGGAAGGAGGCTTCTCGGGCAACTTGGGGTCAACCACTTCCTCGGATTTTCGGTCTCCAACCATGGATTTCAACCAATCCACCAAATTTACCTGCAATTATGTCATTACTTACAACTGAATAAGCAGCAAAAAAACCATAGATGACATTAAAGCAGGAGCAATCGTAGTCAAACATTAGATGCAAAGAGAAACTAACCTCTCCTTGGGGTCTACCATAATCAACAGGGCTTCGCCCGGAAATTAACTCCATAATTAGAATTCCAAAGCTATAAACATCACTCTTCTCATTCAACATTCCAGTGCAAGCGTACTCGGGAGCAACATAGCTATAGAAATCACCACATGACTTTCCATCTTCTAGACCGTAGAAAGTAAAAATTGATTATAAGATAGGAACTAACCCAAATGTGCCCATTACACGAGTTGTCACATAGCTCCTTTCAGAACAAAGAAGCTTGGCCAGTCCAAAATCCGATACTTTAGCATTCCACTGACGATCTAGCAGTATGTTGCTAGATTTTACATCACGATGAACAACCTTCGGTTCAAGACCCTCATGAAGATAGGCTAATCTAAAAAATAGAGAAAAATAACACTACATGAGTGAAATTTTAAATGCTTCAACACGAATCAATAGCTAATCCTCAATAACACAACTATATACCCCTTTGCTGTTCCGAGTATGATGTTAACACGAATCTCCCACGTCAAGGGGCTCACGTCACCAACATCGCCATGAAGCCATTGGTCTAGATTGCCATTGTTAACGTACTCATAAACAAGCATTCTGAACAAAAAAGGAAAAAGTTCATAAAACATGTTCGTTACACCGAAAACTCTCTCAAATTTGAATAAAATCGCCAATACCTATATGCACCCTCAACGCAATATCCCAGCAACCTGACAAGATTCTTGTGCCTTACGCGTCCAATTGCTTCAACTTCCACTTTGAATTCCCTCTCAGCTTGACCCCTAATAACAAATGGGTTAAATTTCCACATCAGTATAATCTTCAAACTAAGAAGAACATGGCAAATCAGAAAACACACAAAAATGTGGCAGTTTGAAACTTTTCCTCCCCCAAAAGAGGAAAACACAACAGCAGCAAAACCGTTTCCCCATTCTTTTTGCTAAGTTTTCTCGCAGCCAAACAGAACCAGTCTCAACTAAAACCAAACGGAGCTCTCAAGTTGCAGAAAGCAAATAAATCAAAGTACAAAGTCAATGATAAAATGCTAGAGAATTAGTCAACAAGATCACCTGTTATTTAAGAGGTTCTTGATAGCAATTCTGGTACCGTCTGCTAAAACGCCCAAATACACGATCCCATACCCACCTTCTCCAATCACATTCTCCTCACACAAGCCATTAGTGGCTGCCTCGAGCTCTCTCAGAGTATACCATCTACCCCAACCCAGGTGTGAAACCTCCGGCCCGACGGTACCAGATCCAAAAGAAGAAGCAGTTTCACTCACAGCACCTCTGCTCTCCCCACTGGAAGGTCTGTCGGAGAAAACAACCCGATGCTCCGATTTTCCGATCTCGACGTGAATTTCCGGCTG